GAATTGTATATATTTATACTTCTCATTCAACCACAATTAAATTCACTCAATCTAGGAGACAGTTTATATGGATAGTATTTATTTTTTTACAACAACAAGCTGCAATGAAAACAAGCAAAAATGAAACAAAAGTAACGACTTTCTACTTTTTGCCTTTTACAAAAATGTGAGGAGTAAAGAGTACAGATAGTTGTGTGAAAATGTAAGAAGTAGAAGTCAAAAGTAGGCTGAAAATAAATTACTCAAGTAAAGTACAGATACCCAAAAATTCTACTTAAGTACAGTTACAAAGTATTTGTACTTAGTTACTTTACAACTCTGCTTYTAATCTTAGAGAGRTGGAAAAACCCGCARWTTTAAAGCAGARTGACRACTRATGGGGTTTTAGTAAACAGYATAAAATTTATAATTAGTACAAAAACTTAGTTTTTATGCAACACACTGTACAATAAAAAACACGTTAAATCTGTCAGCTTACTGCAAATCAAATCAAACGGCTGCTCCTCCATAGTTTCTTCATGATCCTTTGATTTGTTGTTGTTCAGCTGTTCAACTGCTGCGTTTTGTTAATTTTTATTAGATAAAACAGAAACCTTAAAAATTATGTTAAATTAATTTCCATGCTAACACTGCAAAAGTGCAGCAACAGAAACGTACAGTATATGTGGACGTGTGCATTTTTCAATGTTAGAACCTTCAAAGGAAAAGGATGTGGTGTGAAAGCAGTCCAAGTTTTCATCTAAAAACAAATAAACGATTAAAATCATTGAATCTCCTGTGGCAGTCATGTGGACCCGCCTAAATGCTTGCTGCTACAAAGCACCGCCTATTTGTATCTATAGCTCCTCCCTGGAGCTCAGTGCCCAGCAGAGGTCCCGCCCCACAGAGCACCTCTTTGTTTGAAAACGTGCCGAAGTGGGTGTGTCAGAAAAGGTAAGAGGTTCTTAAAGAGACAGAGGCCAATTTCAAGACGTTTGATGGGCTTTGAGCAAAGTCAAACGTATTTTTGATATACTATGTACAGCCTTTTCATAACTGAGGGTAACACAGTTACTCGATTGTGATATAGAATTGACTTATGTGCCTGCAAAATACCCCTCCCCCCTTTAAAAATCCTCAATCCTCATCTTGCATATAAAATTGCAAGATGTTACACCACAAGTATGAGTTGTGACTGATGCTCAGTTACTTCCACACCTAATTTCAGCACAATATCTGTAAAATTAATCCGGTTTTAGTCATGTTTGTGTTGCCTAATTGGTTAGTTGACTGAGTGCCTATATTTAGGTCAATATGTGCAAAACTTACTTAGTCATGATGAAATTGTATGTTATAACTGTAGATATTAAAAAATGTCATATTTTGGAACACTGGAATCTACAATTAATGCTGCATAATAGGTGGGTTTTTTTTTTTGTTTGTAATCAGTTATCTATGGTGGCCATCATGAATCAGGTTAACTCCAAAGCTTGAATAAATGTAGAGGTATAGATTTAGCAATTAAGATCAGTTCAGTGGTTCATGAAATATTATAGTAATAGAGTGATAAACTTCCCCCAACAAATATGTTGTTTTAACGTTAATAAAGAAACACAATTTACYTAAAAAYGACCTTTCCCTTGTTCTGTCACACCTGCTTCCTCATCCTTTCCCTCCTGAACTCTACATGATCCCAGCATATCTGCRTCTCATCTGTCACTCTCCTGCGATAACTGTGCACTAGTGAAAATGGAGAACATCTATATTTATTCAGTGTTCACAGGAGGCAGACGTGGTGAACTGCTTGAATGCCTGTCATATTGACACACCTGTTGTGTCTGCAAAGGGTCCACAGAGAAACAATGGCCTCCGCTCGCTCCGACTCTGTATAGCTTCTCATTCTGCTACTTGTTGGCCTAAAATKCTTGGCGACTCTCGTGACTTCTCTCCCCGGTGGGGGGGAAAAAGAATCTGTAGCTGCTTTGTGTGCTTTTTACAGGAGTATTGTTCATCTTGTGTGTTCTTCTGTCCGCTGCTCATTTTTGCCTGAAGTGCCTTGCCCCGTATAATGCTTTTTAAACACGAATACAACCTCGCTTATCTCCCTTTATTGCCGTTGGTTTTCGGTCCGGTTAACAAGAAACAACCATAAACAAGTCAGACAATTGCAGTTTATAGTCGTTTTTTTACAGGTGAGCGCAGCTGATAACACAAAACTCGTCTCTGTACGGAGAAAGGAGGATGACATATGGGCCTTATGTTCCTTTAAAATGGCTAAAACATCATAATGCTGTCAGGGTCAGATGGCTCTTGATGTTATTATGATGCTTGCTCACCTGTTGACTTTACCTGCAAATGGCCTTGGCATTGTTGGCAACTAATGCATGTTGACTGAAAGAGCAATAAATGGTTCAAGGGGGAAAATCGACATGATTGATGTTTGCGGTCGCAATCATTTCCAACAGAGGTGCTGAGGCAGAGTTAGAATCCTGTCAACAAATGCTCTCTGAGGTTTTATTTATAACGGGCCTCCTTGAAAAAGCTTTTTTATCCGTACAAGCTTATGCCATGCCAAGCCACAATAACACACCAACTGCTCATGCCAAAGCTATTTAGACCCATTTTTCCTGATGCAGGCTTGCACTCAGAATATGTTAAGATACTGCATAAAAGCTGCCTCGAGTTCCAGCGAAAGAGCAAAGATCCGACTGACCGAGCTCTAGTTTGTGTTCAAGTCAAGGCCAAAAAAAGAAGCTTTGATGTGTCCGTGTGCATGTGGGTGTCGTGGAAGCCGAACAGAGCTCGTGTCCCCTCTGTGTTCGGCCCCCTGGGTTAGCCTGCGCTCTCATGAAGACTGGCGGGCTGGCCTCAGATCCCTCCGTCTCTCGTTTGGATTCTGTTTCCAGTTGGTTGTGGGTTGGAGGAACACTGCGGAGCAAAGCCACATTTCCTGTTCTCACCGTCCTGACCATTTCTTATGAATAAACTATGATCTGACAAGGAAGTGTAAACAGAGTGATCGGCCAGAGAGCGGATATGAGATTATCTATTGTTATGAGTGGAATTTGAGGGATGCTGCCATAAAATACAAAGCGAGGCAAAAATGCATTTTCTACTAATGCCTCCTCTTTTGATCTGGTGATAATTCATATATACTGTATATATCTTAGGGGTGCAACAATACATGTACCCATTTCGAACCGTATCGAACCGTATCGAACAGTGCTGTATCGAATATTACAGAATTTAAAAATTTACTTTATCAACTTGTCTTCTGAAGATGCTCTGTGTTGAAGGATCAGTGGATCTGTGTTCGACTACTCCACCTAGGCTGCATTTTTGAGTGCAGATCCACGGAGAAACTTAATGTTTCAGCAACATTTAATTTAAAAACTGTACTTTTGAGGTTAAAAATGTTCATAATTAATATAAAAATAAATTACAAGTTAAAAGGGGCATGGAAATTTCTCTTTTTTGTATCGAAAAAATATTGAACCGTGAGACTAAAGCATCGAACCGAACCATGAATTTCATGTATTGTTGCAACCCTAATACATACATTATTGAACACGTCAACATTTTTCTCAGTAAATATATTCTAGAGGTGCTAATGACATGAAATTTTCACCAGATGTTGGTAACAACCCAAGTGATCCATACA